TATAACGCTGGCAGTAGTAAGAAAAGAAATGAAAATGAAAGCTGTTTTCGAACGCGCCTCGAGTATCTGCGTTAGACGGACGAACGGACCGACTGTTTGACGGCTGGCTCGCTTTTTCAAGACTTTAGAAGACGCTTTTTCTTTTGTAAACGCAACTATAGGTATGGCACCAGATTTCCATTCGCAGCGTCCTTCTCCTCTTATCTGACTTCCTTCCTTGCTGGCCCACGCCACCATTCGAATTTCCTCGTTGTCTCTTCTCTCCTCTTTTTTTTTTCGTTTGATTTCTCTGTTGCATCTCTGAGCAACCAGCTATATTCTGCTAGCTGTATTGCTACTTCTGCTGCTGTTTGATAGCAGACGCGCTATGTCGAGGTCAGACCGGACGGCAGCTTGTGATCATACTCTAGGACGATCACGCCAGGGCGAATACAGATTGTTGTTGTTGTTAGCCATCCTTACGAGGAAGATTGTTTAAGAGAAAGAAAGCAGAAAAGGCTCATAGGCAAGCTAAGTAAAGCCCAATAACCGTGCTAACGATGCGTCGACTTCGTGGAGTTCGGACGGCAATCGGTAGGCCCGCTAGTGCTCCCCTTTGCCGTTGTCGGTATATGCACATATAGATTATCGTTGATTGCTAGCAAGTTTTTGTATAAACTCCTAAACGAAATAAACAAGATAACGTTAAATGTTGCTTGTTTATTCGGCGGGTAGGCCAAGAGCGAGAGGTATACGCTAGCGAATAATGGAAGGATGAACAGCACTGGCAATGGATATTGCTGCTGTTGGTCCTTTTTCGTTCGATTATTTTTATATAGACGTCACATCGATATTCACCACCGTGTGGTGCTTGTTTCTTTTTACCCACCCCCCAACGACCGCCAGTAAACGGGAAAAAATCGACAACGGAGATGTGTATATTTCATGTATCAGAAGGTGGCAGTATTCGAATATTGTCTTTTTCAGGCTAGGTGGGTCTAGCTGGAGTAATTTTATTCACGAGCCACTACAGACTATAGGCATACGTCTACGTGTTCCCTTCACCTACGAGTAACAGACATATCGAAATCCGTTATGAAACCCAGTAATCTCATTTTCTTCGCTATTCTACCCCAAGCTCACACTTCGAGCAAGCACGTTCTGTAAATTATCCGTGTTTAGTCGATATTATTGGCCACCCTTTGGCTATTTATTTGTAATACTATTTTTTCTTCATTCAGTGATCAAATGAGTGGCGACTGAGATTTTCTAGTCACCTTTTCCGACTCCCTCGTATCTTTTATCTTCTTCGTAAAAGGAGGCTACCGTTCTAGCTCGGTCGCAATTCGCCTACTGTCATCTGAACGTGAACGTGTTTTCCACAGCTGGTCCTGCGGCCACTGCGGGGTTCGAACTTTTTTTTCTCGTGTACCACGTTTACGTGCAACCCAGCGCCGATCATGTTCGCTGTCGCTGATGTTCAGTGTTGTTGTAGCTGACGCTGTTGATGACGATGCCGTCTCGGAGCAATCCGAAACTCATAATCAAATTGCCTTGGGCTGTGGCGACGGCGGCGTCGCTAGCAACCTTAGAAGATCGAGCGAGTCGAGAAGGAGAGGAAGAGCCACACTGTGCTTGTTAGCCTATGTTCGATGCCTACGTGTGTGCCTATGGGTTTTTTTGTGCTAGGTTCTACCAGGAGCGATATCAACATCATCGCCACTAGCAGCCGTCGTAGTGGCGGCTCTGGTGCGCTGCATCGCTCGTCGTCAGAGTTTCGCTTGCTGAGCTCGTCTGGTCTTGCCTGGTCCAGTGAACTCAACTCTGGACGCATCCATTCGTGCAGACCAGTTAAACAGCGACCGATCTTTTCGCCTGCATTCGATTGTGGGCTATCGTTAGAACGGGCAGGACAGAGCCTGGTGCCGACACAGCGGTCTGTATCTTAGTGTTACTTAGTTTCTGCTACTTTTCTTAGTTGTCAAAGCACAACGAAAATTACGGCGTGTTGGAAAACGACGCATTATCACCCTTTGCTAATTGAATTGAGTAAGGCCAGTCGCTTATTTCAACCATCTTCCCTCGATTAGTAGTCGATCAATATACGTGTTTCAATATACTCATCCGAATTGGAATTACGTGACAGCGAAGTAACCGTGTCAAGGGATGGGGTGAACAACCGTTAAGCGCGATTAACCGGTGATTGAAGACGGACTGACCACGCGAGTCATCATCCAAAGAATTGCCTGTGGCAAGTATATTAGATCTATTGTATCTAACCTTGATATAGTACTTCAAGATCAACGTGACTATTGTTAATGACGAAACCCACAAACGATCGTTGAGAAGATTTGATTCTTGGCAAATATTTTGATTTAATATAAACATTCGTGTCCATAGAAAAACACGTCTGCTATGTCTGAGTAGCGTATTATCAAAATACGCTGTTCTGCTATTGCCTGTCACTTGGTCAGTGGTTCCGTTAAATAGAAACTCAAGTGTGAATTTAAACAATATGTAACAACGAGAATGTTATGAGACAGTTCCTTACATTTGCTGGAACATTACTCACAGAGTTACTAATCATATGCTAATCGTTAACTGATTGACGAAATATATAGGTTACTTTTCCTTGTAGGTGATCCTACGTGATCCTAGGTGAATTCTAAGTAAAGCAAATTATTTTAGGTCATTTTTGCTGTAAGCAGAGGATGACTAAATGCAAAGCTTTCTTTATATAAATTGCACCCACTTTGACTGTCGCCGTTTCGTCCGAACAAGCAACCTACTATAAGCTCGCTTTTGCAATCACGATATGGGTCATATGGTTGACGTACCCATCCGTAAGCTACGACGCTAGCTACACACGTACATATAATTTTATGTTCGCAGGAACAAACCGAGAAAACTAAAGCCACTTGTTCCCAACAAGAAGACGAAAAAAAACTGTGAGTTCTAATATCGCACACAATATACCTTAAATACCACCCCGCTCTGCGCCTGTTTGCCTAGGGTGTGCTACTGATAGCGTTGGTAATTTAACAGCCTCCCCGTACTCACAACAACATCAGTCAGCCATAACAGAACGTTTGAAAAACCTACAGGCAGATACACGGCTACGGTCAGCTTATTTACGTTACTGCATAAATTGTTCGTTTCGTGAACAAGCCCTTACTTATTGGCATGATGGCATTTTACATCAGCGCGACATTAAATCTTTAAACGACCATGTCGTAAGGCAACGGCCGTGGCAGTGCTAACCATTGACAATTTGTTTTCTGAGTTTCGGGGAGAAAGAACGACGTCCTGCACCATGAATAGATCCTACTGCTCTGCCAGTCAATTCCGTTCGGTATATTGTAGCCAATAAGCGTCTACCCAGTAGTTCGTAGACCTCGGACAATATGTTTGATATCGTCAGTGAGATGGTATTCGAATGTTGTGTTTTATAAGAGTAAGTGTGGACGATTTTTCAGAGATTGACAAAGAAACCAACGCTCTCCATTTTGATCGAATGTCATACCGTTACATCTATAACAAGAGCACTGCCTAGTTGGACGGTTGATGGAAGGACTCGTGGGCGACGGGTCATTTGATGACTATTTCTTTCAATTGTTCCGAAGGGAACGGCCAGATATTTTGTCGAGCGTGAATACGCTCAACGATAATTAATCAACTATAACAGTAACAGGCAACGGCAGTGACAACAGATCTACGAACTGTGTTAATGAAGAATACTAATACTACGGAACGTAGTAAAAATGGAAGACTGTAGAAAAGCGTACAATAGTGCACTGCATGCACTGGACGACTTACAAGTAGCCGTAAGGTTTGAGCCGCCGAACAACCGGTGAGTATACAGTAACTTCTCATAAATGGAAACCGTTCGGTAAACTCTTTGTTAGTCGAATAATCTTTTATGCGTCGTCGAACGTTTTATATTTTTATATGATGCGTATCTATATGTTACTTGTTCATTATATAGCCATTGGCTCGATGGAGCTTTCGCCTCATCGAGTGCGTGTGGCAACGTCGCCACTGCAATGGTCTAGATTCGAGTGACCGTATCACTGACAATGATTGAATGTCATTTAGTGCTGATCAGTGGGTGGACCAAAGCGATTTTCACTACATACGTCCACACTATTGTATAGTAATTGGCTAAAAACCGTTTTCACCGAAGTCATTATTGCTTGTATACGGCCAACACCGGACTTGGACTTAATCATTGATCAACTGGCGCATCAGTTAGTCAGTGAGGAAACTTTCAGAGCGATCAATCAGTCATCGATGCATGCGATCGTATTTAAGAAGCAACTGAACATCGCTTAGGGCTATATTCCAGTATTTGCACACAAAAAATCCCCGTTTTGCAGTAGCTTCTGTGATGACTAATGCATCATCCCTAAATATGTCCGTCTAGCAGCTAGTTTGTTGGGCGAAAGCATAATCCTGCCAAATACGGGTCATGCTTTAAATTTCACCAAAATGAATCGAAGCTATTCAGCCACTGAGGCTAAATATCGAGCAGCTTTCTCACTGTGTATCGCAGCGCAAAGTACTACCTTGCAGGACGTGAGTGCCTGCAAAAGGTTATCGTTTTCACACAGACGATTATTGACAGAGCCTCTGATGTCGACTTCTATCTATCTCTTGATTGTACTAATTCAATGCTATAGTTACTATGGACTGTGTTGTCATAGCGAATGAAACTAGTCTACCATCTGTGATTACTATTTCGCGCTATTTCGTAACCTTATCTGGTTGTTGTTAAGCAATAAACCAATGAGCCCACGAGAACAGCAGTAGCATTGTCAATATCAATTAAACAGAGAAGAACTCAGCTTAGTAACAAGGACAATTTAACAGATCAGCAAAAAGAGCTTTTTTCATTTTCTGTTACCTCGTCGTCTAGCCTCTCTCAAGGGGGTAGTTGTTTTAGCGGAAGGCCGATGTTAAGAAAGAGGAGAAATAACATTTAGATCAGATATAAATAGTACTCTTTGTTTGATAATACTCACATATTTTCTGCTGTAAGACATCTTGACGCTGATAGAAGAGCATCCTTTCTTCGTATTTTGTTTGAAAGAAACAAGTTTGTTATTGGGGCCTGCCTGTGGTGCTTTTGGCAAAAAGTGCTATTTGTACAGACACGACGTGTTATCGTGTCGATATTCCACTAGATAAGGACAAATGGACGATTCTTTGAAGAGGGCTTTTCGCGATAAAGCCATCGTAAAGCGCCAGGGCAGCTCTGGGAGAATTAGGGAAATCACAGAGCTTTTGATTGGCTCATTGGCTTTGGAGAATCGAGGTGATTATACGACCGGCCAATGCATTGAGGGAAAGACGAAGCGTCCATTGTGAACTTGGCCATTTGCATAACTAATGCAAATATTATGGAGGACTGCAATGACAGTTTAAGCCAGCTGCAACTTTTGAACTTTAAAACCATGGCCAGTGGCTTCCGTGGTTGACACAAACCTTAAAAAAGCATGCCAATATTGTGAGGAACATTGGTCTTTTTCAGTTCCAACGAGCATTATTGCACTGTCGTAAATCTGTAAATGATCCTAAAGGTCATTGACTCCATTACCCACTGGTCAAGAGTGATCCCATTTAGGTAATTTGCATTTAATAGGATTTGACTTTTCTGTTTCACTAGAATATTCACGGCCACAAGTCACGAACGGTCCTTTATGTCCTTACGCACGTCTAAATACAAATTTGTTACTCGACTTGTACCAGATTCGTCCAAGACAAAACATTTATATATAGCTGTATTAATTTCAACGCTTGCAGTTATATGGCGTCTCAGAGCAATATAAATCGATTTAGTCCACAAGACGCCTGGCCTTTGTTTGAATGTTTACATCCAGCTAAGGCAGAGTATTTTGCTCTATAAATATATTATGGATAGTATGAGGAGTCAGTGAATCAGATGGTCGTTGGACCAGCCCAGTTAGCGAGATGAGCTTGTAATGATGATCGTTATCGATCGAGCAACAAATGTAGTCGTTGCCACGAGCTAGACGTCCATGTTTATTCTTAGGAGGCATTGTTAGGCTGAGCCCTGCCTCTCTACGTATTTTTATTATTCTTAGAACTATGCCGCATTGTCTTTTCCGGTAAACTACTGGAGCCCTTCGTTCTTTACCGCCTGTTTTCTCCCTAGCTTAGTTCACATGTTTTATATATATACATATA